GAGGAAATTGTTTACGCAGACAGGAAAAGCCTTAAAATTTTATGCCTCGCTGAGAGAAATTGAAATTTTATCTGCCGCCGGGGACTGTCGGCAGCGCGAACGGAAAATAACTGGCGAAAATAGGCGTGCTTAAGGAGAAGTATAGCGTGTTATATTTTTGGTATTAATACGGAAACCGTTTTGTGTTCAAGTTCTAAACTTGCCTAAATCGGAAATGATCATTTTGTAAACATCCTTAATCAGAAAATAGGGCGAAAAATCTATGAAATAAATATTGAGGAGGGTACATTGAATGTAGAATTTGAAATTTATCATTTATGTGAAATTTTGGCAATCGTCTAATTTTTAACTTCCACACAACTTTTATTAGTGATATTTCCACAAATCAAGAAATTTAGAGATGATTTAGTCACCAAAACCAGCGAAATCCTTTCTATATTCATTACCAAAAACACTATAACCAGGTTGACAACTGACGATAAATGTAATAAATTACTAAAATTACGAGTTTGTAATTTATTAGACAAAACTACAGAGCACTGAATTTTTTTAATTTTTTTATTTTTTATGAAATCATAATGGCAGCAGGCAAATTGTTTTAGTTCATATTGAGAGAGTCAATTGTGATAGACGTGAAAAATTAACATGTGTATTCATATGAAAAGTGATTGTGTAGACCAACAATAAGTAATATGATCAAAATAAAATTTTCCAGTTTACCTGCTTTGGCTGAAAAACTTTTTTAATCAAAAAAATTTTGCATATCTGATTTAAACATTTAAAAATAATATTTTATTTAAATTAACAATAGTGAAAAAGTAAATTATATATTTAATGTCAAAATTATAAAAATAATAATCGATTATTTTTTACAATTTTTTGTGTTTAAATTAAATATTATTATCTATTTTGGCTATTCTACTGAAATTTAGTTAGCTCCTAAAGCTGGGCAGCAAATGCGTTAATTTAGTGAAGGCAAGTTGGACCCTTTGGCACGTCGTGTCCCGTCTTCGTAATTGCGTTTCCCCGCACACCATACGAGCGGGCCGAGTCGAGCGAGCAGCAGTCAAATTGATGACTTTGTAATATAAATGTCGGTATCAGGGGGTGACACGTGGACATGATGGATGGGCAAACATGTTGCGCGTCGACGTTCCTAGCAGGTCCAAAATCGATGCATGATTTCGCCCAACGCCCAAAACCCTGTTTCTGGCAGCAGATGAGAAACTGAAGAGGCGAAATTTGTTTATGAATGATCGTGCATCACGTCCAGCGTGTATATCAGAGAATCTTTTGGAGAATGGAGGAGTTTTCTCTCCGCGAAACGAGATTTTCGCAGCCAAGTCATTTATCAAGAGACCCGTAAATTTCATTTTCGGCAACAACGCCTTCAAAAACAACCAAAAGGAAGCAAAAGCTGGTGTAGGGGTTTTGGGAATAAATTTTAGGCATTTTTAACCCTTATTAATATGCATGGGGAAATGGAAGAAATGCTTTACGTTCTAAATATTCAACTCGTTTCGCCAGTAAATTTGGAGCGTCCCTTTTGCAGAAGGCGCGGTTGAAGCCATAGAAGATTTTATTAGCATAAAGCCTGCAGATTAAATATAAAAAATTTCAAACATTGTCAAAAATTCAAATTAAAAATGTACTTTAACTATTGAAATTAATTTTCAATGTATGAATTGTAAAAATATGTTAAAGAAAGGAAAAATTTAATTTCTTTTATTGAATGAGTTGGGCTGTAAAAATAATTATGATTACGAATAGAATAATCAAATAATTTTGGAATCTTATTTTTATGATTTCAGACCTATATCATAAATTCTACATAATTAATTCACGAAAAATTCATTGTGACAACTAACATTTGAGTTGGAATTAACTGGGCTGATAATCAAATTTGCAAGCCTTAAAAATGAAACAAGATTTTAATTTTTGTTGACGCATTCAGGTTGAGCACATAAAAAAAATCTGGAATAATTGAATATAAAAAATTGGGGAAAGCTAAAAATAAATAAATTAATTACAATAAAAAAGTTAATAAATCTCGTCTTCCAGATCATCTGTACCATTCTTTCTGCTTAGGATCACTGAAATAAGAAAAGCCAACAACAGACGTTAGGATGCAACAAAATTAAAAAGATAAAAAGCATGATATTGAAGTGCCTTATAAAAAAATCAGAACAATCTGCACTTTTGTATTGCACGAATTTGATCAAAAATGAATTTAATTATTAAGAGTAAAATTCATAATTAACTATGTCATCAACGATTTAATTCTATTTCCGTCATGTGAGCGCACGTGCTCGATTGGAACAAACGCGAAATGGAGCCGCACTTACTTAGAAGCGTGCGATCATAAAATATCAATCAGGCGTCGTCTCGTGACGCGCCATTATTTTCGGTCTGACGGATAGATGGTCCCGAAAGAGCCGCAAATGCGTGAATTATTGATTCAACGGGCCGGAATAATTATACCCGGCGAATTAAAGTGCCCGCCTTGCAAGATCGAGTGCCGGCGTTGCCTTTTCGCATAGAGTGGCTGCCCTCAAGACCCTTTGATAAATTTCGGACGGACCGCAATTCGTCACTTGGCAATTTTCTCGATTGAAGAGAGTCAAAATCCAATCGGGCTAATTGAAAGGTGTTTGCCGGCCGGCGGAGCCCAAAGGGTTGACCTAACAGACTGAGAATCAACCGTGGAATAATTAGGCCACCAATATTTCCACCAGAGTGCGATTGCAAAACTTGTTTGTCCGGCAATCACAACTTGTTTTCTCTCTCTTCGTCCAATGAAATTATCCCGAGCCGACAAATGCAAATTATTATTATTGTTCTGACGTGGAGCTGGTGTTTAATCACGGCCAGCGTATAATTGTGATCAAAGTGATACACACATGCAAAAGCGTGTAATAGCAGAGCCGACCGGTAGGCAACCCGACTGTTTACTTTCGCCGGGCTGGACCCAAACGAGATATTAATTAATGCAGAATAAATATTTTGACACACAGACAGACAAACCGAATCATACACACACAACTCGTGCGCATCAGCATCTCTGTTGATTTGACGCCGGTTGCATTACACGTGAATGTGTAGTTGTTGTTGTTTCCATTATATGCGGATGCTGCGTTTGCATTATTACTGATTTGCTGCTTTGCAATTTCCGTCATAGCAGATTTTGAATTTTAATTTTAATTTGTGTCTCAAAACAAAAAGAAAGAAAGAAGTTTGCAAAAAGGATTTTGAAAAATTTGAAATTTCCAGTTATAAATATTACTTCATTTTATTTTGTGAATTTTATAAATTCAATTTTGTAAAAGTAATAATTTAATTCATCTCATTGTAACAATTGTTTACATCATGATAATATTTTTAGAGAGAAAACATTAAAGGATGGAAAAAAGATATTGTTGGAGGAAACCAGACCACCATTAACATAAGTAAAAATTTGACTATACAAAAATATTATATTTTACAAAATATGTGTTACCAGTTATTATTCTCTTTGAATGCGAATATTTTTTTATAGAATACAGAATGTTTAACTGATAATTTTAGCGACAAAAAAAATTATTATTCGCTTCATAATAATTGCACCCAATGTAGTGCAATTTGCTTACTTTCATCGAAAGTCGGGTTGTGCCCCTTCACTTGAAAATCATACCTCGCAAACTTGCTTAATATACTTAATATTCATGGCTACGCCAAACCTGAAAGTTTTCAATTTAGGCAGAAAAAAGCTCCTTTGAAACTCGTTCTCAAGCCAGCAGCATAATTTGCAACTCTCTCGAACGACTCAAATTTTCCGCTAGATCTCTTCCCCGCTTACTCAAGGCAAACACGAAGGCATCTTTGGCAAGGTGTGTTATCTCTCGAGCCCCTGTACGTTTACGCCAAGTTGGTTTTCAGATTCAGAGTTTGCTTCGCTCTCTCGGCCGAAAGTTTGCCTCTCTCCGCGAATTATTATTTGCCTCCGCAACGCTGATATCCTAACAACCAGCTGCATTTGATAAACTGCACAGTGACCTAGTTTTGCTCTAAATGTATGTGTGCGGGATGTTTTATGTGACTCTGTGAAGATGAACAATAAGCTGTGCAGAGCGTGCCGCAGAATCCTTGGCCAACAAAGAGCAAAACTTTTTGATGCTTGCATTTGTCTTTATACCCATATATGGTTTACAAAAAAAAGTACACAAAAGAGTGAACATTTGTCCATAAAAGGAAATGCTTACTTTTGTAAACAATGTGATGTAACAATTTGGACAAATAAACAATAATAAGTAATGAAAAAGTTTGAAAAGTAATATTTCGAACATCTAAATAAAGAGAAATGTTATAGTTTTTTTTATTTAACGGGAGTATATTAAATTTTAAAATCATTTACTTTGCTAATAATTAAAGATTATATAGATCTTAAATTTGTTTAATTTTTTTTAGCTGCTGATAAAATAAAATGATGAACATATTCCTTAAAATGAAGAGATCGGGCTTTTCCTTGTTGCAGAAAAATTGTTTTTATTCAATTGTTTTTAAATAAAAAAAAATTTCTGCAACGAGGAAATTCTCTTCATTTCCATGATCAACTCCTCGAGTGTCAACTTCTTCAAACGTATTCCCTCAAACCCTTGGTTTTTTCATGACCTTTCCTCCATATTATTTCCCTTTTTCCTTTGAGTCAAAGTAGCTGTCAATGACGTGCACAGTGCATAACTATTTGACAGTATGAAAAAAATTGAGTTGTCACGAAGTTTTCTGCTCGTTTTTATCTTTTGCCAGTTCGCGGAAATCAATATTGCGTGCTTTGTGCGTCTGGCAGAGTCGTTATTGAAATGTTGAAAATGAAATAGCGATTGACATGGAAAAAAAATACCATTATTTTTCTTGTTTTGCAACAAATATTTTTGTTGGAAATTGTTCCATATCATTTTGATGAACGCTAAATTAATACGTTATTAAAGTTTTTAATTAAAATTCCTGATTTTGTTTTGTTTCAGGAGGGGTCGACGGCCTTTTCGACACGCAGGGCCCCAACTTTGTGGTGGAGCCGCCGCCCCGGCTCGAATTCACCAACAGCCACGGTGGCAGGGTGGACTGCCTGGCTCAGGGCAACCCTGAGCCCAAGGTTGAGTGGGTCTCGGCCGACGGCTCGCCCCTGTCAACCATCCCAGGGGTGCGAATGCAGTTCGGCAACGGTTCCCTCTATTTTCCGCCGTTCCACGCCGAAATCTACAGGCAGGACGTGCACGCGTCTGTCTACAAATGCGTGGCCTCGGTCGACTCAGTCGGCACAATCGTCAGCAGGGACGTCGTCATCAGGGCCGGTGAGTACCATGAAAACTTTAAATGTTTTAAAATAGTGAAATGTTGCTTAAAAAGTCTCTTTTTTTCTATCAAATGGCGACTTTCTAGGCTCAGTTATTACATGAACCGCTTCATAAAATTTTTAATAAAAAAAAATAATAATAAAAAAATAGATAAAAATTCCCTTTAAAGTCAATAGGCAAATCAAATATACAAATTTTTGTCTTCAAGGTTATAATTTCCGCTAAGTTCTATGACTGATTGTAAAGAACGCAAGAAGCTGAAAAAATAAAATAAATATTTAATATTATAGTAATACTGATAAAGAACGGCAATTTGAAGGAGAAGTAAAAATGCTTTGGTTTATTAAACGTAATTAAAATTTAATTTTCACGCAAAGGAATGTGAGAATTACTATGACTCCCTAGAACTAGAAGCAAGTTGATGGAAAATTACTTTTTTTTCAATAATGTGAATTTTGTTTACAATTTCTTGCAATTATCTTCAAAAAGTTTCCTCCTTCAGCAAAGAAGCTTTTAAATTAAATTCTGAATATTGCTCAAATGAATACTCCTTTTTTTCCTTGAAATCATTAAGTGCGACGCACTGAAAAAGACTATTTGAAGAAAAATCCAATTGACAAATGCACTATCTGTACCGCTCAAATTGAAATCCAGAGTGCTTCTCTCAATTCCGTGAGCTCCAAGTCTCGCGCTGAAAAGACGGAGTGCAGTTTGCATTTCTCTGTGTTGGCGAACTTTCAAAGACCTTTTCAACGACTGTGCACGTCTTCTCTTGAAATGGGGTTAATTGAAATTGCAATATCGCGAATCTAGCAAGCAGATGCGACAGTAAACAATGCAATAATAATTCGCGTCTGCTCCAGTGAGTGGCGTGCATGATAATTTTTATGCAAGAGTCTTAACTTTTTATCTAGCACGCCCTGGTGCTTCTCGTTAAGTACAAGTCATTTTAATATGCTATGATATTAAAATATGCAATTACATTTATTTCCACGGTAAACAAGAGCTGAAATTGATGTTGCAACTTGCAACTCTGTTGGAAGATAAAAAGATTGTAGTTGAAATTGATATATTTTTTGCCAATAATTATTCCTAGGCTGGGATTTTTTTTTAAATAAAAATAATTATTATCAATAATAATGTATAAAAAAAATTAATACAATTTATTGTCTTTGGTAGGTTAGGACGTGGCATTGACACTTTCAATACTTTCTCGCCCACGTTTTTGTCGTTCATCAAGTCGACAAGCCTTTCCAATTTTCTTTTTTTTCCCAAACGACAAAAGAATCCAATTTCGAATGTTCCCGCACCTGCCCACTGTTGGCTTGGCACGGTATCTCTCGTCCCATGAATTATTAGCGCACATCTGCGTCTACCACTGACAAGCGCGCAACGGCAGCCAGATCGATTGCACATAAATATGCATTGGTTGGGTAATTAAATCAGAGCCCGCTGCTCTAGTAGCGGAAAACTACTCGCCGCCAAAATCAACAGGTTCAAATATCAGGATTTGGCCCATTCGAGTGTTTTCAGGTGTTCTAAATATTTTTGCATTTCTTTCTCTGAGTGATAGAAATCCCTTTATAGCACAAAAAGCCTAGATCGAAAACATATGAATTATAAAAAATTTGAAAATTTTAAGGAAATTAAAAGAAATGAATAAAAAAATTTATTTTCATGTATAGATAATATCTATTAGATATTATACCTAAATTATAAAATATTAGATCAAACGCACGTCTAAAATAGTTTTAGACGTTATTAAAGTATTTAAATATTTAATTATTTTACTCGAGTCCTTCCAATAGATTTATTATAAAAAGTACATTATTAAGAAATATAATATAAAAATATTTTACATATTATGGTAATTCAGGTGATTTATATCAATTCAGTTGTTCAAAAAATTTTCTCATCTTAATAAATTCTAGGAAAAATTGTTTAATAAAAGGGATATGAAACTATTTTTCCTATTTTAATGATTTTCAGGGTTTCTGAAATGAATTTTGCATTTATATTTCACTCCTTGTTTCTTAAAATCATTGAAAATCAACATTTTACTCAAAATGTACTACATACGTATTAATTAGATTTTGAGGGCAAAACCATTCTGCTATGCAAAGTTCATTCAATCTCTGGGTGCGTCTCAATGTGAATGCAAAAAGGCTGAGAGAGAGCGACGAATTATGCATGCATCTCTGGCGACCGTTTACAGACAGACAATGAAGGCCTAATGTCACCGCGAGATGCAAATGCACGTCCTTCTCTCTGCAAGTGCAGTAAAAGCTTACATTTCAACCGGAAATGACTATACGATGCTATTATGGCTTTAATTCACAAAGCGCCGGCCGCCATCGCTTTATAATAGCTTTTAGTGCGGTCGGATTAAACTGGACACTCTGACTGCGAGCGGTTTTTTCAGCTTACCCGTCCATTTGATTTTTTGCCAGAGAGGTTTATTACTTTCAAATTATTCAACCATTTTAATCTTTGAAAAAGCTAAAAATTTTAATTTATTATTCTACGCAAATAAAATTAAAAATATTCAAATAATTTTCTTTCCTTCTTGAAAGAAATATCCTTAATATTCCTTTCTCAAAAATTGACAAAAATTTCCATGACCGATGTCGAAATTCAATTAAAAAATTGGCTCCGCATAATGAGCTTCAAACCAGGCATAATAAAACTTACCTGTGTTTACTTTTTAAATGTACTTTTCGAATAATTAGCATTTTAATTACGCGCTGAAAATTTCCATTTAACATTACCGAGCATAATAAAGTATATTTTCCTAGGGTAATAAAGCCATCCCGATGCTAATGCGCTCATTTTTATGGAGACGAGCTTTCAACTAATTACACGGTCGCTCTATGCAAATTGCAGTCTCCCAGGCGTGCATACCGGCCTTTGCTCCGTTTTCATGCATCCGACGGTATATTTAAGAAGATGAAGTTACCGGGATTCCTCTTGATGTGCTAATCAAGCGCTGCAGCGTCGATTCTTTGACAGAGGGACTATCAGTTTGAAGAACAAGAAGTGCTTCTGTGCATTCTCCTTGTCACTAACCGATCAAAGGCAGAGACACCCACCTCGATCCATTTTAATCAAGAGCGTGCATAATGGCATCTTATGAATAAAAAGAGCGAAATTATAAAAGATGACAAGATTCTACTTTGTGTCACACCAAGCTGAAGCACATACGTTTTTTGTCATCATTGTGATGATGACAAAAAACAGCATGAAATACATTATAATTAAGATCTTTTTAAAAATTTTCATGTTCTGATTCAAAACATGGGAGTTTTAAATCTACTCTACAGACGCTATTCATGAACTTTTGATCACAAAAATATCCATTTCAGTGTTAGAAATTTTATAGTTTTATTAAATTTATAAATAATTTTTAAAGACTTTCATTTTAACAAAAGTTCGTGTTATGAATTACTTTAAATGATTTTTTAATAATGATATAATGTTTTAAATAAAATATCTCTTACAATAGCAATAAAATATAATGTTTTATTTTAAATTAAATAAGTTTTCCCATAATCACTTGTGTCCATTTAGAATTATATTTTATCATTTTTTTAAATTTATTCATAAAAATATGTCGTATTTTTCAAAAAGTGAGAGTAATGTTCAATTTGTGCTGTTCACCTTTTTGCATCTTGCTCATGCTTTTGTGCTCGGCTTAGGAATTCATTAAGCGCGCGTGAGTTGCGAAAATTTGCATGCGACTTGGAGCTTGAATGCGTGCACTCCAGCATTAAAAAATTTCTCGTCTGGCTGAGAATTATTGCCGTATAATATAGTACGTCGAGCGCACGCTGTGTGTGTGAAATACGTTGATAATTTTTCCAGCAGGCAGCCGTTGACGTTGGCGTAAAATTAATTTGCGCTGCTGTGCATTTCGCGCGGTGAAATTAAATCTCCAATTATATGCAGTTGGCTCTCTGCTCGAGTGGATTTCACGAGAAAAAGCAACCGCAGCCAACGCGGCAATGTAATTGATAAGTGCATTACTGCTCTGGTACTGCACACTCTGAAAAGAGGAAATGCGCACATTTTTTTTTTTTAATTATCATGAGCAATGACTGCGAAATAATCGAGTAGCCTTCATTTTTGTTGGAAACAAGATTATATAACTTTGCATAATTTTAAAATTTGTTATTTTTTACTAAAAGTAATTATTGAAATAACATATTAATTTAAATTAATATTGAAAACAACTAACTAAAATAATGATCTCATGAGTCTCATGTCAATTAAAATCATTCCACGTCTTGTTCTTGAGTTAAGGAAAATGTTTATAAAACATTATCAATAACGAACACTTTTGTACAACTTTTTTAACTAAAGTATAGCTTTTTTGCTTTTTGTAAAATTAAAAATAAAAATTATACTTATAATAATTAATATATTATTTTGATTTTATAAAAATTTATCATATTGTATATAATTTATTTTTTTTATATTTTAAATTGTTTTAACTTAAAATTTTCTTCTTTTAATATATCTGGATTTTTAATGAATTGCCAGTTATTGAAAACAGATTAAAAAATTCTTATTTATAATTCTTGTCTATTATGCAATGAAGCATTATTGCTATCAATAAATTGATATTGCAATGGGGGTAGCCTTTTTCGTGATACAATCCAATGATGTCTATTAATTTTAAATTATTATAATTTAAAAACATATATGGAGGGAAAATGGAAATTTTAAAAAGTATTCATTTATTTGAAAAGAAAAAATTTGGTTATTTTCTCGTGTACTAGAACAGTCACGTAGGAAAAAATGCATCAAGTGGCAAAATGTCTCGTCTCCAATATTCGTTCTGTGGATAGGCAAAGAAGCCAGCAAATTACTTTAATTAAATTTACAACCCATCCCGAATGTCCACAGGCCGAATTTGCTGCCACCCAGGAGACCGTTATCGCGCAGCTTCCCAAGATTAAAACATCCCATGTATTTATCCGTTTTGTAGGCTGTCGCGT